GAGAAGTTTTGGCTTGTTTTCATACCGGCCACACTGGGTCCTCCCTTTAACTCGAGAACACCGACGTAATCGCCTTGAGTGGTGCAGACAACGGTCACTCTGGGATCAGGAATGGAACAGTATTGTCTTTAGTGACGAGTCTCGATTTTGTTTAGGCATGCACGATGGTCGTGCCAGGGTTAGAAGGCGACGTGGTGAAAGGAGGAATCCACAGTTTCTTGTTGAAAGACATGTTCATCACACTGTTGGAGTTATGGTTTGGGGTGCTATAGCTTATGGTTCCAGGTCACCTTTAATCTTCATCAGACGTAACATGAACGCGCAGCGTTATATCTACGAAGTTCTAGAACCCCATCTTTTACCTTATCTTGACACCCAGGCAGATCCAGCTTTCCAACAAGATAATGCCCGACCACATGTTGCAAGAGTCACAATAGACTTCTTTCAACATAATGATGTCACATTGTTACCATGGCCACCAAGATCTCCCGACTTATCCCCAATTGAGCACGTGTGGGATATGATGGGTAGGAGATTGCTCAATTTGCAACGTTCTCCTCAGACTCTAGAAGCACTTCGAGAGGAGTTGGTGGTTGCCTGGAATGAGATACCACAGGAGGACATTGACCACCTGATCAGAAGCATGCCTAGGCGCGTTGGAGAATGCGTAGCACATCAGGGTGCATCCACACATTATTAAAGGTCAAAGGGCTTTAAAGCAGTGCAATCATTTTGAAATTTTTATCATTTACTTATTATGCTTCATTAAGTACTTATACAAAATTTTATTAAAATAAAACCATTTAAACTGGGTGTTCGGATTTATATGTCACTTAGTATATTTTTCAAGGCAATATCAATTTATTAAAAAGGTCCTGTAATTATTTTTATAATAGCAAACTTTCTACGTTCTCAAAAGTTAAATATATCCATCATCGTCTATGTAATTGACAGCTTTTATTTGCAGTTTCCTTATGTAACGTCGAATAAATAAAGCTCGAAATTACGATTTTATTGTTATTCGTTGCGAGCATCGAGATAAATTTAACAGGCGCTATTTTTTAATTAATTCTGACAGTTATTAGTAGAAAAAATAAGAGTTGTCAATACCCAATTCAGGTAAGATCGTACACAACGACAACTCGTTCGTAACACTATACAGGGTGGTCCAACGAAAAGGTCGCGCCCCTATTTGTGGCTCTATTGTATTTTCTAATATGTCCAAGTACGTGCCGCCCGTCAAATTTTCAGGAAGAAAGAAAGGTCCTAAAATATCATTTCCGAAAATGCCGGCCCACACATTTATTTTTTCAGGATATTGTGAGTGTACCTCACGAAACAAATGTGGACAATTATGTCTATTTGCAGCACCATGTAAGAATAGAACGTACACTCATCCGAGGAACAAATGTTAAAAACAGATTTTCATTGTTGATTAAACGTTGGGACATCCATCAAAATCGTCTTCATTGAGCTCAAGTTTTATTTTGTACGGGTGAAGTTTATTGTCTTTAGTAGAGTTACATGTAGAAGTTCGATTTTCGTCGCACCTGATATTGTCTAGTCAATTTTTCAACAAATGGACCACCACATGTTTTCAGTTATAATCTGTGACAAATGACTTAAGCCTTTTAATTCCTCAAGTGGATGGAACTAGTAAAATTTTTACAAAATTACATGTTTATGGTCGATTAAGTAACTTTAAGCAGATGTTAGACGGTTTTATGACGAAGGTCAATTCAGTCTCACGTTAAATTAAGAAGCAACTTTTTTGAAAAATCTAACGAACATTAGTTTTATCAGTCATGCCACAACGTAAATGAGGGATCGGTCTCGGCTACGACATTGTTCTTCTTACATATCAACGACCTCCTTTCCTGCACAGTCAAGCCAATCCGCAGCTTCGCTGATGACAGCACTCTACATGCAGGAAAAAAGAAGACTAGCAGCGACTTCCTATCCGAACTGGAGGTTGTCATTGCGTGGGAATGCAACACTCTTGTACAAAAATGAGCGATCCAAGTTGCACATGCCTCTCACATGTTCTGGCCCCCAAAAATATTGAATGGATATTCTCGGATAAGCAATACTACAGATGTTCAATGAATAGAGCATATCGTCGCTTGGGTTCTAACACCGCGTAACTCCAAACTAACAACTTTTTAGGAGAGCAAAAAAAACGGTGGGTCTTTAGATTCGCTATCGGATGTCATACATATATCTTATAACTACCTCTGTCTGGCCCCAAATGAAACCTCATATGCTTCAAATTCTGTGAACTGAAACCTCTATAGTATCGGTATACAGAGTTTTATGCCAAAATCTGATATACTTCTCAATTAATAGGGAAAAATTGTCACTTTGACACCACCCTGTATGTTGCAAAATATCAACTTTTGGACTAAGGTATGTTTAGGTCAAGTCACATATTTTGGTGTGTGTAGTATCTCCAGTTTCGAGATTTTGGAGACGGAGACTCGATCTGTTTACTTATTTCGTATCGCGTTGATGACGTAACCGCCCAGAACGGCGTCTACAACTATAGTCAACGCCAAACAAAGTGGCGTGCACGTCATCACGATAAAAATTCCCCGACCTAATGCCTAGGTTTCTATCACAAACAATTGCTCTATTGCAGTTTCATATTAATGTGATATATAAATTGTAAAATGGTCATTACTCTCTTATTATGGTTAATAGTCATATAAACATTGTTATTAAAATATCACATAAGTTGCTTTCTGATAAATTTAGACGCATTATGCGAAATAAAATGTTTTGCAAACGCTCCAATCACTTATCGACATGTAAACGCACTAAACCGATTTCGCAGCGTTGACACATTGTCACCTTGAAACTTATTTAAACTGGGAACTGACATTTGTATTAATTTTGACACTGAATCAATTTGTGGCATTTCAAATCTTTATAAATCCTTTGGCCCCGCATACTGTAAATCAACAACTGTTTGTTTCAAAACAAAATTATTCATTTTACGAGTAGATAAAGGCAATTTTGGTATATAAAGATGCCCAAACAGTTAAATAGTCGGTGTAAGGAACTCGTGGCCTCGTTAATGCACTACTTTGAGCAAGAAAGGGACAACAACGGGCCTTTGTTGCCTTTAAATGCTGTTCAAGAGGTAGGTTACTAATAATTATAGGTAATGTATATTAATAATAGTGAAATTTTATTTCATTTTTTGTAGCGTGTTGCTGCTGCTTTAAAAATTAGTTTAAGGACAGTTAGTCGTATTTCCGAGGGTGTGAAAAGTGATGCAAATTTAGAATCGCCCAAGAAAAAGCGGAGTTATATTAAACGTGTAACCAACACAGCGACATTGGATACAAGTGCCATTCGAGAAGTGATCTATAATATGTATCACAAAAGTAAGATCTTATTATAATAACTTATCAGAAATTTGCATTAATTTGTTAACTAAATTATAATGTCATATTACACATGGTTTCAGAAGAACAAGTTACGATACAAACTTTATGGTCTCGATTAAGAGATAGGGCATTATTTGATGGTAGTGCCACGTCTTTAAGGCGGTTGCTTAGAGATCTTGGATTTAAGTGGCTTAAGGACAATCCGCGACGAGGGCTCATGGAACTACCAAGTATAGCTTTGAAAAGGGTGGAATTTCTAAGGCAATACAATCAAGCCAAGGTTGAGGCCATATACCAGTTTGTCTTCCTCGATGAAACTTGGATATTTCATAATGGGACCATAGGTCGCTCTTGGCAAAATGGAAACCAAAAAAGCGTGAAAGCTATTAAAACAGATGGTAAAAGGTATGTACTTTTACACAATTTGCACTATAAAATTTAAAACTAATATATTTTAGATACATTATATTACATGCTGGAAATGAAAATGGGTTTATTGAGGGTAGTGAAGCGATATTTTCTTCGAAAACAAAATTGAGCGATTACCATGGAGAGATGAACCAGGACAATTTTTTGAAATGGTTTCAACATCAGTTATTAGAAAAATTGGAGAGTCCATCTATGATTATACTGGATAACGCCCCTTATCACAGCATGATATTGAACAAAGTGCCCAACAATGCATGACAAAAAAAAATATCCAAGACTGGTTGACAAATCAAAACATACCATTTTTAAACACAATGATTAAAACAGAGCTATTGAGTATTGTTGCTCGGTACATAATGCTTCTTAATTATATATATTTTGGTCGACAGTTTATATTTCTTTTGTTTATTCCTATTCTTAAAATAACTGCTTTTTTAGAAACAAACCACCTAAAATATACGTGATTGATGAATTGGCGGAACAACATGGGCACAAAGTTCTTCGTCTGCCTCCTTACCATTGTATATTTAACTCTATTGAGTTAATTTGGGGCATAGCAAAAGGTTACTATAACAGACATATTGGTAGAGATGGTAACAGTGAAAAAGACTGTTTGGATATGTGGAACGAGGCTCTACAAACGGTTACCCCAGACATGTGGAAAAATAGTGTTCGACATACTGAGCAAGAAATTTTTAAATGGTATGAAAGAGAACGAATTTTTGATCGACCAGACATCGAACCTTTAATAATCAACTTTGAGAGTGATGAAGATTCAGATTCAGACAGCGCTGAAGAAAGAAACTCCGACTAACTTTATTGTACAGAAAAAGCTTACACCAGTAGCTTACCTAATTTTAGAATGCATTTTTCTGTATGAATTCTGTAAAATAAATACCAAGCATAAAATTTGGAGGACCCCATTTGGATTTTTATTCAGTACCTTTAAGCTATCAATTAAATATGGTAGTTTCATAGTGTCATCTGATCAATAATTGTCATACTTAATGATTATGCAAGTACAGATCTATAATTTTATTATACTATTATTTTTGTTCTCATTTGAGGTTAATATTGCTTATAAACCTAGATATGTAAATAATAAATTTTATTATTTTACAAAAAGTTTGGCAACAATGTAAATTTTTCAACACACCCACCTTGATGACGTGCACGCCACTTTGTTTGCCGTTGACTATACTGTATTGTTATTTTTGTTATAGTACCTACACCCGGTATACGCTGCACCAAAAAGCATGACTGTCATGCTTCTCTAGGTGTAAGAAGTATATGCACGAAGAGGATGGAGTGTGCTTGCAAACCTTTCCACCATATCCATATGGGCCAATGCGTCAAAAATCGAGGTGAGTGTTATTGCGAAATCCCAATATAGCGTCCATATGAAAACACAAAGTTCGTGACGGAAGTCGACAGATGAAACCTTGACTATTCCGTCTTGTAGAGGAGAAAAAGTGACAACGACAATATGTAATTCATTTTGAAATCCAATCTCGAGTAAAGTCAGGAAAAATAAAACATGATTATAGACGTTGTTGTGATGCCACCTCCACATCGGAGCTTTCTGAATATCTTTAGCGAAACTAATTTTTTAAATTCAAAAGAGTTTTTATGTCATTCTGTAAGAACTGCTAAACAAAACAACGACGTTATAGAATAAATATGAAATTTGGTATACGAAACAAATGACTGTGTGATCATTTCACGGCCTACCTAGGAAATTCTGTTTTTTGAAATAACTAAAATTGGACAATGTCAGTGTTTGGCATATTATACATTTTTTGAATCAGAATTAAAAACACTATCCATCTGTACAAAAATATGGCGTTCTGTTCTGCAGCCCCCAACATATATGGTATGCTTTTCAAATAAGAAAAACCATTCTATTATACCAAATACACCCACTTGAGTTTTTTTATATATACAAACCACTTATTTCATTACCCGTTTAAAAAGACGCGGCACTCGAGACCAGGGAGATTGAAACCTTTTTGTTCTCATACTTACGGACAAATGACACGTGTTTTGATATGCTTTGACCCTAATATCGTAAAGCGTGTTAGTAGGGCATATTAAAGTTTTTTTTTGTTTATGATTTTAGATTTAGATGATGCTTGTGATCACGACCACCAGTGCTACTGTGGTGCAGGCTGTGAGAATAGAATTGCTTGCATTGACAAGCAATGCTCGTGCAGAGAGGGGTACAAGCCATATGGTAGCAGACGATGCGTCGGTATGTATACAAAATGGTGCTGTTGCGTCTTGTAGAACTTCTGATTTTACTGTTTTTTCTCTTAAAACTTTTAGAGGGTAGTAGTCTGATTATTTAGAAACAAAAAAAGTGTGGATGAAGCACGCTTTTCATGAAAAAATGTTCCCAAAACATTGTATTTTTAGCTGTTCTTTCCATCATTATTTCCACCGCCATCTATCTGCCATATGACGTAGACGGCTGTGCATATGTCATATATGAAAGGCGCTTGCCTGCGGCGTTGCCGGATTGGGCAAAGTTGAAAATTTATATACATATACAGGGTGACTTCGAAGTTGAGTCATTTATTTTAACAGTGAGTAGATCTGATCAAAAGAAATGTTTTTTTCCTTTACCATTTTTCTGGTAAAATTAAAGTAACAAAGTTATAGCCCTTTGGAAGTTTGAGTACCGCCCTGTCTCAATAATAATAGCATGTACTCGTGTTTGGCAACAACGGATATAATCCGCCTTACCGGTTCATCGCATCGGAAACAAAAAAGCGAAAGAATTTGGAACGACGTTTTTGCAATTAAGTGTTTTATTCAGTTCAGTTATACATACAGTCAGTATCTGTCGGTTAGCGTGTGAATAGTTTCTGTTGCGTGGCTCAAACGAAATAAAAAATGGCACATGTTTATGCGGATCGGTTTCCCAATCGAGTGCAACCAACCCCTCGTGCCTTTGTTAATGTAGTACAACGGGCTCGTGAATCAGGTGACTTAAGACCTCACAGGGGACCTCACGATCAAATACAGGTCCGCACTGAAATACTTGTCGGGAGGATACTTTATAAAACAAGGTAAAATTTTTTTTTTTATTTTTTTTTATTTTTACACACATATTCTGGTTTATCTTCCTTCTACAATCATTATCTGAAAATTAATGACTCAACTTCAAAGTCACCCTGTATATTAATTAATGAATCACAAAAACGAAAAACTGAAACAAACAACAGTACCAAAATAAAAGACGATTGCTAATAAGTATAAATCAAAAAATAACAGTAGTAAGCTAGAAAATGATAAATTATAAATAATTATAAAAAAAATAAAAACAGCAGTAAAACAAAAACTAATTCCATGTAATTATAAAAAACAAAAAATAAAAACAGCAGTAAAACAAAAACTAATTCCATGTAATTATAAAAATCAAAAAATAACAAACAGTAGTAAAACAAAATAAAAACAATTCCATGTTGAATAAAAAGCAATTCTAAGTGACAACACAAAACAAAAAGTAAAAACAGTAGTAAAACGAAGAAGAATTTCATTCCGTCCAAATTGCTTTTTATTTTACTGTTTGTTATTTTTTGTTTTTTTTTTATAATTAAATGGAATTGTTCTTTGTTTTACTACTGTTTTAATTTTTTGTTTTTTATAATCACTTAGAATTGCTTTTTATTTTACTGCAGTTTGTTATTTTTTGTTTTATACTTAGTAAGAATCACTTTTAATTTTACTACTGTTGTTTGTTTCAGTTTTTGTTTTTGTGTTTCATTAATATAAATCTATATAAATTTTACACTTTTCATATTTTTCCCTAAATACAAAGCCCAATCCGGCAACACCGTAGGCAAGCGCTTCTCATATATGACATATCCACAGACGTCAGCGTCATATGGTAGATGGCGGTAGAAATAATGGGGGAAATAACTGCTAAAAAGTACAGTGTTTTGGGAAAAAAATTTCATGAAAAGCGTGCTTCTTCCAAACTTTTTATGATGTAAAATGATTCATCAGACTACCCTCTATAAGTTTCAAGTGAAAAAACAGTGAAATCCGAAGTTCTACAAGACGCAACAGTACCTACAAAATGTTGGAATAAATAGTTTCGGGGTTGTTATAAATGTATAAAAAAACATAGCACCGTAATTTGATGAACAAATCGTTAACCAATGCTTTAAAACGTATACAAATTATATAATTCCATACACCTTGGTTTAAAGGAAACTAACTCATACAAAAATCAAGAAAAAAGTTGAAAGAAATTCTACTTGATCACCATTGAAATCTTTTGTAACAAATAAGTGTTAACTCACCTTATGTTTTCTTTATGCCTTTTACATTAAATAATAATAAAAAAAGACGTTAATTATTATTACTTTTATTATCATTATTATTCTTTTACCTCAATTTACTGATTTATCACTATTATCTGTCGTTGTAAAAAGTTTCAATTCAATACGTGTCCCGCAAATTGTAGATAATATGTGGATTTGACATACCTTATAATAACTCGGGCAATAAATATATCAGGTACACAGTTTGAACCAACACTTTTTACCATATTTTTATTCAGCAGCGATCGTACAGAATATCCTGTTTAGCACTCATGAATTATTCGCGTAGCGACCGAAATGTGTGGTTGCGAACCTGCACTTTCTTTTTTTATTTATTTTTGAAGAAAAATATCCAAGTGATGGAATCAATGACAAGAGATTGGCTTCTTTGTTTGGTTCCGACAATGGGTGGATTCATTTATTCATTATTCTTTCTTTTTCAATAAAATTTGCAACGCTTGAAAATGCTTTTGCTTATACATATATATATATATATTTTTTATACGTAAACAACAATTAGCAACATCCTCACATACTACTGTAAGTTGAGTCAATTTAAATTCATTTTACACTTTTGTTGCTACTGTTATCATTGTAATTGCAGCTCCTGATGATGATGGCAAAGTCCATTGAAAGCTAGAGAGAATTAAAAAAGTATAGAGTCCTCTTTGCTTAAATTTTGTCGAAGTACCCAACAAAAGGCGGAAGCTTTAATTTTTCATCTATATATATATATATATATATATGTCCTTGCTTATTTTTTTCCATGAAGCCGTGAATGGACGTAGACTATAATCTATCTCTGTACCCAATTTCGTCCAGATCTGCAGGGGTATTGAGTAACTTGAAAAGAGACATTTTTTTTCGCGATTCAGTAACAAAGATCGACACTGTCTCATAATATTAGGGGGCTGATAACGAATCTCATTCAATTTCAGATGATCCACTGTCCGTCAAGCACCACCACCAAGGTCACCATCACGCGAGCGAAACATCTGCCGTATCACATCATCACCATCATCACAACGTCACCACAGAGCGAAGTTTTGACGAGCCACGTGTTGAAAACATCGGTGCCAACAAACTTCAAGCTATGTCAGCATCTTCAACGTCGGCGACGAGCTTGTCGATAGTGATCACTACTGCGCTAGTTTTACTTTTGAGAACGTAGCTATTCTGGCAAAAGGATGGCCAAATCGGCAACACTGTCAGAGTTTGAAAATGATCGTTTGTCTTTTAATCTTAAATGTTTGTCTCTGTGAGACTCGTCAGCAACGTATAACAATAACTATTATGTAACGGGATTTTTTCACAATTTGAGGTATCATTGCAGGTCAGCTGGTCACACTCAGCTATCAAATATGCGGAAAGGACGAAAAACATTTAATGGCGAATTTGGACTTTAATGACACTTGACCTGTGATGCCTCAATAACTTTTTTCTTGATGACTAAGTTTGTAGTGCAGTGAATCTCAGACTTCTCATATAGTGAAGTATAGACGTAAATAAGCGATTAAGTGATTCCAATTTGGAGTGACTCAGTTGATCAAGGACATTTTTTTACCTCAATTTTTTTGTAAATACTACCACATAAGCATCCGTACTCTCATTATGGTAGATCTAAGTTAGATATAGTTGAATAAAATGATTAGTTTTTCCACTAATAGCTTTTATTATCCTTAAAACATTGATTAGTAGGAGATACCCAATTCAAATGTAAGATGTGCCTACGTAATGACGGGCGCTGTCAACTACCTTTGCTTAAAAGTATAATATATGGAGTCAAAAAATGACGTCAAGTAGATTGACTCTATACTCTAAAGGGACGAGTCGAATCGTTTCAACGGGCGCAATCACATCGTGATTAGGTAAGTTCACTAAGGTACGACCTCTGTATATCAAACTATATAAAGCAAATCTATCATATTTCTGTATCCTGAGATCAGCAGCTTCTTAAGTCCGTGTTTCTCAGTTATATCGGTTTGTCAGTCCGTGTCTGTTTTATACCAGTGCGTCATCATACTGTGTAAATCAACTTGACGAGATATTCATCATAGACGCAGTAACACAAATTAAAGGTTAGGCGAAATGGGCGGTACATTTAAGGATCATATATAAAAATCGTTAAGTCATAATTTACAAAAAAAGAGTCGCAGAACGCTAAAGTCGCACGTATTCCTGATATCCAAATATTGCTAAAATATTCCTTCTGTAGCAGTGAATCAGTGACGACACCACCTCAGACCAGTTGGAGTTTGTTATCCATTGCACGGTCGGCAGTGGCCTCCACGACGATGCAGCATCGCGCCGTGCACGCAACATCAACGATTGCCATGTTATTTCGAATTATAACCACATTGTGCATCGAACTTTTATCATTTAATGTCCCCGTGTTACCGGGTTCAGAAGCTTTTTAATGATAGAACGTCTTTGACTAATACTAAGACGTTAAACTTCCAAACTTTTTGGCGCCATTTAAAATCACCTGCTACTGGCTTCGGTTCCATCGTAGTCAAGTGGGGAAAAAGGTGTGTTCACACAACATTAGCCGCGCCTCCTTTCCAAGGCATCTGAAATATGACTCCACCCTTTTTTGTCTTGACTAATACTACAGACGTTACATTTACAACCCCCAAGTTTCTACCCCGACAAAAAAATTCCCAACAATGATCAGGAGGTTCTGAAACGTCAAAATCGAAACTTTTTGGCGCCATTTAAAATCATCTGTTACTGGCTTCGATTCCATCGTGGTCAAGTGGGAAAAGAGGTGTGTTCACACAAGATTAGCCACGCCTCTTTTCCAAGGCATCTGAAATATGACTCCACCCTTTTTTCAAAGCCTGCAATCAATCCGGTTTAGCTTCTTTCCCTTTATGGTCTTTGGTAGCTGACATGACATTTGACATAACTGACATTTTTTTTCTACTTTTCCGTTTTCCAAATTTTCTAATCAGAAAGATTGCAGGTTTTCTCGAACTGCGGACGCTAAACTTTCATTATTTTTGAAATGTTGGTCAATAATGAATGTATCGCGTATAGCGCTCCATTTTCTTAACCCTAACCTCTCAGCTGTCAAATTGTTTTTTTTTCATAGCTGCCTACAATTTACTACAATCGTGGCGGCAAATTCAAATCTTGCGTTAATTAAGGGGACATTTAGATGGAACCACCACGTTGCCTAGCAGCCCGAGTGACGAGCCCACGGACGCAGCTGATATTTTGAATTTTTTGTATACGAAATTGGATAGGTGGAATAAAACACTGATTATGAATGATACCTGATAGCATTTTAATACAATAATCAATCCATCCAAAAAAATGTTTGTTAATAAATACAAATTGTTTATTGTTGAACAGTTTAGTAATTTTAAATGTCTTTTCTTTTATTACAAGTGCAACTATCGTGTAATACTTTTAGTTCAATATTCACTATATAAAAATAACCGATACTATTATCAGCCACTACCAAAACGGCTAAGTATACAATACTAGAAATAAACTGAAAATCAATTTAAAAAATCACAGCAGTCGATAATCTTTCTGTTACTTTGTTAGCCAGATTTCGTAGTAGAAGGTGAAGCTCTAGATAAAGATCTTGATAATACCGAACTTGAACCTTCCAAATTTATAACCAATATTGTACATCGTTTGCGTTAGTACCACAATTTTATATCTACAGAGATCATTCCAATAGCGGCACAATACATTGAACCATATACATCTTTCATACAGGGGGTTTGAAAAATAGACGGAGATATTTTAGAAGGTTAAAAAATATGAAAAAAGTTTGGGTCCTGAATTTGCATCTCGTATTTTTTCGTATCTCACTTCGTTTTCGAAAAAAATAAAAACCGTTTTTTTGCATGTTACTGGACAAAATTGGTTTATTAATTTTTGCTAAAAAAATTACAAGTGCCTTGGAAAACAACAAAAATAAAAAATAGCCTCTTGATGCAGCAAATACTATTGCCAATTTTCAATAATATTTTTTAAGATATCAATACAAAAAATATGTTTATAGAAAGTTTTTTTCATATTTTTTAACAATCTTCAAATATCTTCGTCTATTTTTCGAACACCCTGTATAGGTAGAGAAACGAGTTTATGAAAGACAGAAATATGAAATCAAACCGTACAACATCAGAAAATATTAACAATTCAGCATGAACAAATTATTGATAACGCCGTTAAAAATATTGTATATTATTGCGAATGAGTACGAGACCCAAGCAAAGTTTAGGCATTTTTTAGTATGAAATATATATGTCAAAAATTCAATGAATTCTCTTCTCACCTACCCAAAAAATAAAATTAGAAATTTTCCGATTCGATTTTTTTTTCAATAAAAGATCAAGTCGAAAAATGTTTGTATTCGCCTCGTCTAAATGTTTCAAAGGTAGAACGAAAAAATAATTACATTAAAAAGTGTTTGAATGATTTTTGTCTTGGTAAGTTTTGCTTGGGGATCGTAAGACTTTTCAAAATCCATGAAAATTTGAGAAAACTATAGTAATGTTGATATTGCTCTCAGTTATTTGAAGAAACCTCAGTAGTCAATACAGATGATGCAGATAGACTGTATGTACATATCACATGAAAAACACAAAATTCATCACAAGATTTTTTAAAAATCCTGTCAAATTGGATGAATCATACACGTTAAACGCATTTTAGAACAAGCGAAAAAAGTACGGCGGAACTATACTCAATAGAAGTGAGATAAACTCCAGCTTGCTTGTTCGTACATTTCGAAAAAATACTAGCATTTTTGACAGTTTCAAAATTACATCTATAACTACATCGTTTTTAAAAAACACATTTTGGGGCTACAAAAAGTTATAAAAACCACTCGAAACCTGCATCTATTAACAACACATATACAAGGCGATTCAAAAAATCCTTGCCAGAGCAAACCTGGAAGAATTACACCCTAGAAATAAAGATAAAAAAATGACCCTTTCCGAGATACAGAATGAGATATTTTTCAAAATGTCAGTTGGAAAAATGTTTTTCTGTTCTGTTTTCTGTATTAACGAATATTCTACTTGAACGATCTTAGCGCCATTAATTAAACCATAGCAGTACACAAAATTTATATTTATAAATCTACTCTGAAAAGAGTTGAAGTGCTTGCTTTTGCTACTCGCTCACAGATGGCGCTAGGATCTTCGATCCTTTTTGGCACCTCTCAAACCTAAAGCTTTTTATAGTATTGAAACATTTCTAGTCAACGACTTCAGTGACATATTGATTACATTTTTCTTTTTTCATATTTGTATCTTTTGAATGTGTCTGTTTTATTTAGTATTGATGCTGAGTGTGTAGGTACTTGTAAATATTATTATTATGCTCATTCAAATTGGTTGAATTTGTGCTTTTTTGCTTAGTAAAATCGTTCTGTCATTTCTCTGCTCTACCGGTTGGCCGGTATTTTTCGAATCACCCCGTACACCCCCGCTGTAAACCGCGACATCTCGGCACGCACAACGATTCACCACTCATCTCACAGGTTGTTCTGCAAGAAAGATAGCAGCGTCGTTTCGTAATGTTTGCTAGCGTCCAGATGCCTTAACGAATGCCGTTCGTTCGGGTAGATCTGCAGTTGGTACGGTTTGCCGGCCTTGATCAGAGCGTTGATCAATTGGCTGGTGTGGTAGAAATGGACGTTTTCGTCGATCAGGCCGTGGATTATCAGCAATCGGTTCTCCCTGAAAAAGCGGACGCTGTAGCGATACGGCATAGGCACGCGATCCAAATATCGCTTATTAGTTCAACTTTATTTTATACTTAATCAAATTGAAAAAAACACGCGGTAAAGTAGAAAAGTTGAAAGATGTAGGAAACGAGACTTTTCGCAAAGTGGCGATTTATTTCTCAACATAGTCTACTACTTGAAACTAGCTTTCGTTACCGATATCGTATCGTGTATCGATTCGTATCACTTTAGGAAGTATCGATACTTTAAGACATCGCAATAAAAATATCGATACCACAAGTATCGAAACTTTGGAATTCGATAAAGGAAAAAAAATAATGTCTCAAAAACAGCGAAACTTTTGCTAGCGTAATTTTTTGGTATATAAAAATTCTGAAACTGATTTGTAACAGAGAAAAAAAGAACTTACTCTTCTGGAAATTTGTTGATGTAATTCAGAACAGAACCTTCAAAGTAACCTTCAGGATTGTGTTCAGGCAAGTCCATGTATCTTTCCGTATACCCGGTATCATAAAGGTTCCAATTCGTTACCGGAGCACCAGCTATCGATATTTTGAAGACATCCGGAAAATGGATCAAGCCCATCAAACTAAGATAGCCACCTACAAAGTATCACGACTGATAAAGCTTTTTTAGTCAATTAAAACCGAGTTCAAAAATATTAATTTTGCGTCTCATTGGAAAATCATTAAGCAAAAAAGTTTTCGCACAATGTTATTCCCCAAAATCATACGTACATCTGGTTTAAAAACCTGTGCTTTAGAAAAACATTTTAATGTAAAAATTAGATTGGTATATACGTATATCATTAAATATATATATATATATATATATATATAATTGCAGCTCCTGATGATGATGGCAAAGTCCACTGAAAGCTAGAGAGAATTAAAAAAAGTTATAAAGTGTCCTCTTTGCTTAAATTTTGTCGAAGTACCCAACAAAAGGCGGAAGCTTTAATTTTTCACATATATATATATATATATATATATATATATATATATCACATCTACTACTGGGAATTAAAAGACTACAACTCAAAAAAAAAACTGGGATATTCCATTGACATCTATTTAAAGATATTTGAAGAGTTTCTTGTTCTAAGTAATATAAACGCTCTAAAATTTTAAATTACCGTAAGACCATCCGTGTATCGCTATTCTATCCAAATCGATATACCCTAAACTATCAGCCAGCCATTTTAATACTTCAATTTGGTCTTTAAGCTCTACCGTGCCCATGCGTTTCTTGATGTAACTCTCGAACTGGAGACCGCGATGTTGGGACCCTCGAGAGTCTATCGCCACCACACAGTAGCCTCTAGCTGCCAACATGTGCATTCTCAACTGTCTCATACCCTGGAAAAAAATTACGAAGGTACAAACCTTGTAACGTGCCAAAATCAGGTAACCTGTTAAAAAGTTGCCCATTTCTAGACCCATTTTAATGATTGTCTTTTGTCAAATTTAATAGTTTAACGATAGTATAATTTCACACATATTATATGTTTCTTCTTCAGCGATTCAGTATTGTGTTGAAATCTGTTGGACGCTAATGTTATAGTATTTTATTAACGACTATCTCAGAAATTTCCTCATAAAATATCGTTGGTCCCTCGTAGAGTTCGTTCCGCCCATTGGCAATCAGCGCCACTATGTGGTTTCTGTACGTACTAGCTTATATTTAGTTTCCTATCAAGATACCCTCTTTTCTGGCTTTTCTCCTTTTGATTTCCTATCGAACATACCTCCTTCAAGGCCACTCATTTTAACCTTCTTTTACAAAGTGAGGTGTTCTGCGTCTTTTTGCTTTCCTGCGGAAGTTGTGGTGTGGGCATCGTTTCATTAACTCCCAGATTCTAGGATATTAGACCCCCAAATACCAGTTTATGGAGTAGTACCCCTTTTATTTTGTACCTTACATTTAGTTGTTTTGGTTTAGGTGCTACCCCGTCCATTTTCTACGCTACCTGCCGTGTTGAAATTCTCGACTAACTTTACGAACACTTTTTTTTTCGGTAGTTTACTCTTTACTCTTCGTGATTAGGCTGGGGTGAAATTATACGTTTCGTAAAAATATAATAATATTTCTCCTGTAGCTATGTGTCAGTGACGATACCACCGCGGACCAGTTAGAGAAATGTTTACAATACTTCCCTTGCCAGTTTAAAAATGTTGGTTTGGTCACCACATAGTCATGAATCAACCTGTAGAAATAAAAATAGTATCCAAGTAAGGAGCGTGCTGTTTGCTACAATTTTTGTAATCGACATTTTTGCGTGATATTCAAAATCTCACCTTAAACGTATTAGACACCAATTGCACCTCCGGCCCTCCGTACACGTTCAGCACCGTGGGGTACTTCCGCCCTGGCTCGAAATTGTGCGGTTTGAACACCATCGCGTACAGCACGTGGCCAGAACTGATCTCGTGCGTGTACAAATCAGGGGCGTAGCAATCGTTGGATAAAGGGGTGGATTCCACGAGGTACCCAACGGGGGTCAGCGTGACGCCTTCTACGGTCCAATCAGCGTGCGTCACGCGGAACACTTGACACGCGGGCGGTTTCTGGATGTTGCTGTAGACCGTTACCAACATCGAACAATCCTGCAAATGGGACAAGTTATATTATAAATACAAATAAATAGGTCGTAGGTAGTAGTAGAACAATTTATCGGGTTGTCCAATAGGGACGCAGGAAAGTAAACGTCAATTTGACATAGACGCCATCTTTGTTTTCTGTCACCGACATGTCATTTTGTTAGTTGAATGTTTACCATTGATCGCTAAGGAGTCGTATTCGATTGAAGACCGCATTAAAGTTATTCAAGAGCACTACAAAAATGGTGCAAAAATAAAAAACACGTTTCGCGCGCTTCGTGAACATTTCGGTCGCAACAACCGCCCAAACGAAACAACCATCGGTCGTCTGGTGCGTAAATTCGAGGCAACAGGTTCTGTGGCAAATCTGCCAGGCTCCGGCCGGCCAAGGAGCGTTCGCACACCGGAAAATATTGCTGTTGTGAAGGAGAGTGTGAGAGACGATCCGAAACAATCAACAACGCGTCGATCCCAAGAATTGGGCATTTCGAGAACCAGTTTGCTCCGCATTCTCCACAAAGATTTGAATGTACACGCCTACAAGATCCAATTGATGCAAGAGCTGCGTCGGGCCGACCATTTTTCGTGCCGAACGTTCTCAGATTGGCTCCTTGAACACCGCCAAATTGATGCCAATTTTTCATCAAAAATCATGTTCAGCGACGAAGCGCATTTCACTTTGAATGGGACGGTAAACAAGCAAAACTGCCGCATCTGGGCGAACGAAAATCCCCGTGAGTATCAAGAGCAGCCGATGCATCCTCAAAAAGTGACTGTATGGTGTGTATTGTGGTCAAAAGGCATCATCGGACCTTACTTTTTCGAAAATGCGGCCGGGGACGCCGTTACCGTAAATTCTGAGCGATATCACGTGATGATAGAGGACTATTTTTTGCCGCAACTTGAAGGAATGGATATGGACGATGTTTATTTCCAACAAGACGGTGCAACATGCCACACAACCAACGTCAATATCCATCGATTGCAGTCCTTCTTCGGTGATCGCGTGATTTCGCGCAGAAGAAATGTGCCATGGGCACCAAGATCGTGCGATTTGACTCCCTTGGACTTCTTTTTATGGGGATATTTGAAAAGCAAAGTCTACGTCAGCAAACCAGCCACCCTCCAAGAACTCAAAAACAACATCATTGCCGAGATAAATGCCATAGAACCGACCATGTTGCACAATGTCATTGAAAATTTCGACCATCGCGTGGACGTCTGTAAATCCAGTCGTGGTGAACATTTGAGCGATATTATTTTTCATACATAAATGGTATAAATAAACCTTCAAAATAAAGTACCCAACTTGATTTGAATATCAATCTTACCATCATCAACCCCCATATATAGCACAACAGAATAATTATAAACAGCTTAGAATTAGTAAATTCAAGTATTCTGGTATTTTATCTCTGTATTTAATTTACTATATTCAATCAAACTTTGATGGAATACAGATTTGTAGCATATATTTTTTGGACATTGAATGGAAGTCATTTTTATTTCTGGTATTATATAAATGATGATCGGAATTTGATTATGTTAATTTAGTTAGACATGGGGGAAACACATTTGTTTTTACTTTATGAATGAATATGATTAAGTGATAATTTGCCAGGCTGTAATTAAAAATGAAGGAGGGCGTATTGATGAGTCAAAAATATGAGCATTTTGATTCTAAATAGTTGCATGTTGCTAACAATTAAGAAAATCAATGTTTCATACAGATATTATAATGTTTTCTTGAATAACTTCCACCAGTTACCTTGTTTTCTAGGTGTTCAAATACGGTAGTGTACCTATAGTTTTTAATAAACTTTAATGCATGTTCTTTCCTCAACTTACCCTATCAAAGTCCACCATATACGAATACCCAGGCCTGGTAAGCAACCTAACCTCCCCAGGTCTCCTCAGCGACACGACATACATATGTTTCTCCAACGGGGTCTCCTTAAGCCCCATGAAATACACCAGCTGTTTCTCGGAGTCCACCCAAATCTCCTGACCCATCACCTCCCAATCGCCCAAGGTTAGCGCCGTTTTCGACAGGATTTTCGGCTGAAGAAACACGTAGTCCATCGGTTCGGAACCCTCCGCGATGCCGTTCATGTATGGCATTATCTGGGCGGTGATCAGGTATAAGTGCCGGTAACCGGACTCCTCTGACGCCCATATGAACTGGACCTAAAAGAGGATTTTTTTTTTGCTATACAGCGTGTCCCAAGTCGGAAACGGGGATACGCCACGTCATAATAGTTATCGAAGAAATATACAAAAAATCTACAAATTTTAATTTTTTCTTAAATGAATTTTTCGCAGCACAACAAGTGATTTGCAGGCTCTTTTTCATTGGTCGAATAGGTAACGACATGTCTAGCGTCAGCGTTAGAGTTTATAAATCGACCTTTAGTTTTGATTGTAGCTCCGTGATAAATTAAAAAAAAAGCATTTTTTAGGTTATGTTCTGATAAAGCTTAGCTGTTCTTGAACTCTGAAGCCATCCAGACATTCACTGATATAGCTCTCTTGCATTTACTTACCTCGTTATTGTCGGACGATGGCAGAAAGTGCAAAATATCGTGTACGTTGATCCAAATGTTGGATTCTTGCGAGTATATTACTTGTACGACGGGACTTCCTAAGTAAGCGTTAGTCGAATCGTCGAAAACAGGAAGAGCTTCGGTAAAATTGCTTAGAGATAGTAATACTAGTTCCAGTCTCTGTTGCCTACGGTCTAAAAGCTGAACCCAAATGCTGGAAGAAACAAATAAATGGCAGCACATTCAGTGGTAGAAAACAACATATGCAATCGCAAAATTCGCACACGCTAAGGTCGCTTTGCTGATATTTGCCTAAACTGCTGCAACCCGCATTACGCTGGCATGGTTTGTGGGTTGTAGACTCATAGGATATTGTACAGAGTATACTTTTAGAACAAGATCTGACGAAGGAAATATGACAATATGAAGATCGCATTTAGCTGCTTGTCTTCCCAGCAACAGAAATGTGCACATGTTCAGTACTACTTAATTATTAGTTCCGATGTGCGATAGGTATATGAGAAAGGGTCTGCATAACTAACAAATCGGAACAAGAAATTGTAACTATACAGTCGAAATCGGGTAACAGAGCAATTATACAGGGTGTTTCAGTTTATTGTTGCATAACTTTAAGATTCGATAGAACTTTTAAAATTAATGCATAAAATCTATATAAACATCGGTCGAAAAATGCGTGGCTTCCGAAATACAGGGTGTTTAAATTTACTTGCTAAAATAGTTTTTTTTAAATATTTCGAACAATATTTGATGTATAACAGTAAAAATTGGTATACAAGGGTTTTTTGGTACGAAAAAACGAACCATGGGCATAGTTTTACAGTAGCCGCTAGAGGGCGCTCTCTACTGTACCTGTAGTGTATTAAAATGACCGCAAATTTTTTCTTAGTGCAATTTTTGCTTTTTGAATAAAAAAACTGATTCTTCGCACTTTTCAACATAAAAAAGCTCTCTTGTGAATTTTAGTTATAGTTAGCCGTTTTTGAGATATTTCGATTTTTAAGGTTCGATGCATTTTTAATTATTTATGATAAAATAACGTTAAAAAGTCAGTATCTCGATAATTTTTAGAAGTAGGCTGTGCCTGCAAATATTTTTGAAATTGGAAGCAGAATAAGGTTAAACGTCAATTAGTTGACAGTTAGTTTTGTTGTCTGTTGAAACCTGAAACGTTTTTTTTGCAATTGTGAATGCACGAAATTTAGTTTCTTTTACCTGTTTTTTTTTTGTAAGTTTTATAAAAATGCCATTTTTATTCTCCAATCAAAGAGAGTTAGCGGATATTCATTTTGTGTATGGCTTTGTAAATGGAATCGCAGCAGAAGCAGCCAGAGAATACGCACGAAGATTTCTAAACAGACGACATCCAACTCGCTCAGTATTTGTAAAAGAGCATCGCCAAGTAATTGAAAATGGTTTTGGAAATCTCCAAAGGGATCAAAACATAAATGTTCGTCAGCGCAGATTTACCCGTATGATTCTGCGTGAGTTTGATAGAGATCCGACCACAAGTGTTAGGAGAGTTTCTGGTGCCTTGGGAATTTCAGCAAGCCATGTTCACCGTGTTCTTAGAAATGACCATAGACGTCCTTACCATTTGCAACCTGTGCAAGGACTACAGCTAGGGGACGGAGAACGAAGAATCACATTTTGTCAGTGGATTCTTGATAGAACTGATAATAATAGGGAGTTTTTAAGTAACGTTTTACGGACCGATGTGTCATGCTTCAGTAGACGTGGAGTGGTAAATTTTCATAATCAACATATTTGGTCGCATGAAAATCCGCATGCAGTTCGGGAAAGAAATTTTCAGCATGAATTTAGTGTGAACGTGTGGATTGGTATCTACCGTAATCGACTATTTGGACCCTACCTTTTGCCTGCAAGGTTAACTGATGCGACCTTCTTGGAATTTTTAAAGGCTGAACATGCAAATATGTGGGATGATGTTATGTTAGATTTAAGAAGATTGGCCTGGTTCCAGCTTGATGGTTGTCCAGCTCATTATTCGAGAATAGTTAGAAACTGGCTGGACGAAAATTATCCAGAAAGATGGATCGGCCGTGGAAGACCAGTCGCCTGGCCTCAACGATCCCCTGACCTAAATCCATTAGATTTACTTTGTGTGGGGATTTCTAAAAGAAAAAGTGTACCAGACTCCCGTAACCACAAGAGATATGCTAATAGACAGAATCAGGAATGCATGTGATGAAATAAGGCCTTATTTGAACAATGCTATACCACGTTCGATCATTCGTAGATGTGAATTGTGTATTGAACAATCGGGTTTACATTTCGAGCAACTACTTTAGATTTTGTATGTTTGTCCTAACAATCCAATAACATTTTAGTTGTAAATAATTAATTTAATTTGTTAAAAACAATATTGGAAAATTAAACAAATTAATATTCTGTTTTTTGTGTTTATTTGGAGTTAGGAATTATTGCTGTGTTTAAAAACACAATCTAAACGATCATCTTAATTACTTGTAATGCCCAAATCGAAAATGTGAAAAAAAATATTATTTTCCCATAACTATAACGAAAACTCACATGAGAGCTTTTTTATGCACACCCTGTATATGCTATAAGTCAATTTTTTGGCTAGGATTGTCACAGGGCAGAATCGATACAGGCACCTGCCCATCATGGAAACAGGAAAAGATCCTATCGACTCCAAATGCATAGAAGAAAGATGGAATCTCATTATACATCCACGATAAACAACGAAGCGAGAGACCGCCGATCTCCGAGGAAGTTATAGCGATGATTGAACAAATCTTACTCGAAGATCGGCGAATCACGATCCGGGAACAAGCGATTGAAATTCCTGAGGCTTCTGAAAAAGCTCAGACGGGCAATCCAAGATTGCCAAAGCTTAAGACCGCACCTCGACAATGCGCATCCTCATGTCTCACAGCAAACGAAGGACTGAATCGAGGGATTTGGCCAAGAAGTCATTGCCCATCTCCCTTACAACCCCGACATAGCTTTACAAAATTGAAGGAGCACCTAGACAGTCAACAGTTCGAAGTTTACAAGCGGGCTAGCGGCGAACTTTTTCAAATTAAAAATTCCTTGTGCCTGAAAAAAATGTGGGAACCTTATTTTTGGTACAACCCTCGCGAATTAATGTTGTTGTATCTCAATCGATAATAAACGACATGCACAATTGACAAGATGTGAACCTACTATTCAGCGTTTGGCGTCCATCCGACCCTCACCATGTACTCCATCCAAGGAAACAGCATCGCCAACGAGAACTGCAACTCCAAGTGGGAAATGTCGATGATCTGCAGATGCTCGTTGACCTTGAACTCCATCATCTTCAGGTAGGATTTGGAGTTGGGGCAGCCAGCTCTGGGGAAACGAAACTCCTCTACTTCGCCCGAGTCCGAGTGAGACGAGGGGAAACAGAATACTTTGACGTCGCCTTCGTCTACTTCTTCGTATAATATTCTATACACGCCGTCTGGAAATGTCATTCATTCGTTCATGTGATCATGTACTTGATAACAGCATTGATTAACATATTCTACCTGAAGATAGTCTTAGAAGCAAACCTTTTTTTGAAAGCAAAAACAGCTTACTACTTAATGAAACTGAAACTAATGTTGAACAAGACAAAATAGAGTTCAAAAACCAGCTTCAGGTGGTCGGAGTTTGCAATACAAAATTTCTTGGTGTCCAAATGATTGATTAATGCGACTACCTGTACATCTAGGCTGCCACCAATATCCCTGATACCGCGAGAACTCTTCTTGCATAACATAGGATGGCACTCCGGCACAAAGTGGGTCATCAGAAAGGTTCCTCTCCCCTTTATGCGCATACGTCAACCTGACATTCGAACCTGACACAGTGTGCGTCACCCAAATGTCGTGGTTGCAGATATACGCCACCAAATCCGAATTTGAAGGACATATCTGAGAGTTGATTTTTGCTCCGGAAGATGTCATCCGTAGCTTGGTCGGGAACAGGGAACCAGTCTGGAATGGAAAGCGGTTATAATGGTAATAAGTTAGCACTTTCATAGCAAAAATGCCATAACCATAACTTTGCAAATGCAGGGAGTCCCAATTGAAATGGAAAGTAGTTTTATAAGCAAACTGGAAAAGGTCCCGAGAATCTGTTCTTGTGGCAACCTTGATCTGTTACTAGTGCATATTTTGAAATTATTTCAATATACACAAGGTGTGCCATAACTTTGTATTTTTTTAATAGAATACCATATATTTCATTGCATATTTAGATAGAGCTTCTAAAAGCAAGAAGTTTGGTACTATATAAAATGTGGTAAAAATTCTTAATTGATTAGAAATTTAGTGAAATGTCTGAAAAAATGCCCAACTTTCATGGCTCACAGCACTGCCTTTTTGAAGATATTTAGATAAATTTTAGTTCACAAAGATTTAATTACACTGATCAACAGCCAAAAAATATCCTAAATAAAATCAACAAAATATTACTATTTTTAATGTGCTAAAACCGGAATGAAACTTATTTTTTCAATATTAGTTCAAGTTTTAGAGATACGGTAATTATATGTGTTCCTGCTGTGACAGTGTTAATATACTGTAATTCACATGTACGTGTACATTATATTGTTTTATATTAGCCATTTTTTCCTCAGTTGGCTGACAGCGTTCATGCAAGATGTCTCGAAAGTGTGTAAACAATCCAGATCAGTTTTGTTACGTGTGTGGTGATGTGACTTTTGCGTCTCAGAGACGGTCTATTACTCCGCTAATAACAAAGGCATATCAGCTTTATTTTGGTTGTAAACTAGGTGATCAAGACAAATAGTGGGCACCTCACATCTGCTGTAATACATGTGCTTCAAGTCTGAGGAGCTGGTTAAATGGCAAAAAACGGTCTATGCGCTTTGCTGTCCCAATGGTTTGGAGAGAGCCTACAAATCATATTAATGATTGTTACTTTTGCATGGTACCTTGTGTTGGACAAGCCACAGGTATGTCCAAGAAAAAAAAATCGGTTATTAACTACCCAAACATACCATCTGCGATGAGACTTGTGCCTCACAGTGACGAAAATCCTATTCCAAAACCCCCAGAATCCTACACTTGCGAATCAGAAAACGAATCAGATCATGGCGATCGAATGATTCGTCAGGAAGAAGATATGCCATCAACGTCAAGAGATCCTGATTTTATACCGAGCACGTCATGCCACCAACCGCACAAAATAACACAGTCAGAATTAAATGATCTTGTAAGAGATTTGGAACTTCCAAAATGTAAGGCAGAGTTACTTGGATCAAGACTGCAGCAGTGGAACTTGTTAGAAGACGATGTTTCGGTATGTGTTTTTCGTAAACGCCACAAAGACTTAGAACCATTTTTCAATATGGAGAATAACATGGTTTTCTGCAGTAACATTAACGGCTTACTGGCGGCTTTAAATATAAACTATAACCCAGAAGAATGGAGATTGTTTATAGACAGTTCAACATTGAGTTTAAAGGCAGTGTTATTGCATATTGGAAATATTTTACCATCTCTTCCTGTAGGGTATGCAGTTCACATGAAAGAATCATATGACAATATGAAGTACCTATTGACATGCATAAAATACGATGAGCACCAATGGCATATTTGCGGCGATTTGAAAGTTGTTGCACTTTTACTTGCTAGCTAGGCTACACAAAGTTTTGCTGTTTTTTGTGTGAATAGGACAGTCGGGCAAAGGCACTTACACTTACACCAGACAAAACTGGCCTGTTCGTCAATTCCTAGAGCCAGGTCAAAAAAATGTACAGCATATGCCATTAGTAGATTCGAAAAAAATTTTATTACCACCACTGCATATCAAGTTGGGCCTAATGAAAAACTTTGTCAAGGCATTAGATAGAGATGGGTCAGCTTTTCAATACCTCCGTCGGAAATTTCCAAGACTAAGTGAGGCAAAGGTTAAAGAAGGTATTTTTGTTGGGCCACAGATTCGAAATATTTTGAAAGATACACAGTTTGAAAACACTTTAACAGGTATTGAAAAAACTGCTTGGAATGATTTCCATCTGGTGGTCACTAATTTCTTGGGAAATAGAAAAGCTGACAACTATAAAACCCTTGTCAAAAATATGCTGTCATCATATCAAAAGATGGGCTGTAATATGTCTCTTAAGATACATTTCCTACACTCACACCTGGACTTTTTTCCTGACAATTGCGAAGCCGTAGGTGATGAGCACGGCGAACGTTTTCAGCAGGATATTTCAACAATGGAAAAAAGGTACCAGGGAAAGTGGAATCCTTCCATGCCTGCGGACTACTGTTGGACTCTTGGTAGAGATGCTCCAGAAACGATCCATAAAAGAACAGCAAAAAGACAGCGCATATAGTGATTCTTATAAGTATATGAATCTTGTTACTTTTTTTAATCTATCCTTAAAAATAAAAAGGTTTTTTTCTAAACCGCAACTAATTTTTTTTATTTCATTATCATTTTTGGATTCAGCACCCCAAAATTAACAAAGAAGTGCACAAGATACAATTAAAAAACTAAAATTTGTTGTCCAGTCTTATCATTGATTTTAAGCTGATCTAGAAAAAGTTCTGAAATTTCTTTCTATGTATACAGGGTATCTCAAAATGCAAAATGTACCTTTTCTCAAAAATTTCAAATGGAACACCTGTTTTGAAAGTCTGCAAGCCTTTATCAAGTATCTGATACTATAATTCTGAGTGAAGCCTCCACATAAGGGAGAGGGGATTACCCCTTAACACAGAAACTGAAAGTGCATTTAAGGCAAAAAAATCAAGCATTACAAATAAAGCATGAACCATTAATCACTTTTTTTTTAATATGATGAAAGTGTTCATGTATGATTATATAAAAAGACTATTCCTTCTTGAAAAATGTACTTACAGAGTAGCCACTATCAATGCATTGAAAAAGGCTGCTAGCTGCAGGAAAGATTATCTTCCCTGAGTCACTATGTATCTCATATGAATTGATGCCCCAAGTGGTTAGACGTTTCCTCTCTCGTATCAACTGCTCCTCTCGAGAATACTTATCAGCAGTAGAAATAGTGGGGAAATTCGATTCGATAACGCACTGCCACTGTAGTCTCATACTAGTAGGCTGGTGGCCATTTGGCACATCGGCGCACAAAAGGGTATTCTCCCAAGTATTTTGCGGAGTACTTAGGAAGTATATTCTAGTTCTACCGTCCTGGAGAGTCCGAAATGTTATAGAGTTGGGAACCATGGACGAGAGGCTAGACAGCTGCCTTCTTAGGTCACTTACTACCGCCTTCAATTCTGGCCAAGATAGTTTCCTTTCAGTATTTTCTTTATCCATGTTTCTGTTAATTCTAGTCAATAGTCCCACATCTGTTATTTGAACTGTTTAACTTTTAAAAATAGATTCTTGTGCTGTTTGTTGAACTACAAGTGGGATTTCGTGGTTGATGCATGCCATTAGAAATACATTACGTGTGTCTTTTGTGGTAATTTCTTATATAACGTTTTAAATTCATATGAAAATTCCTACGTTACTTTTTGGACCAAATATAAAAACTAACCTCAATATTATCTGTCAAACTGTCAACAGCTGTCGCGAGTTATCAGCGTTGCCAAATAGTCGATCTACGGACGGGCAACCTAAAATAAACCGTATCGGCGACAAATTTAAACCAAAATATAACAAAAACATCGATTCATCTGACAGAATACTTCAAAATATAGAGAATTTCGTCAACCACCTGCTCCCAGGTTCCACTTCTGGTGCTTCTTGGGCACCCACTTTTTAGTTTTAGCGCATCTATGATGCCAAACTTCCGGTAGAACATAGAGCAGGATTACGACAAAACATGACACGTTGGGAAGAAATTCCCCAATTGTCCTCGTCATCGACTTTAGATATCCTTGAAGTTTTCTTAAAATATTCGTTCAAAAAATACTTGTTTGCCGCGTTTTCAGGGTGTCGTGTACTTTTATACAAGGTGGCCCAACGAAAAGTCGGCTTTGTGACTCTCCTGGTATATTTTGGGAAAAACGCTCGGACATGTCAATTTTGATTTTCATCTGTAGTCGTACAATACAGGGTGATCCAAAAATAAGATATTGCTTCACGCTTTAGATTTTTAAATGGAAATCCCCATATTGTTAATTTTTAGATTTCCGATGAAGTTTTTAGTAACTTTTGTTTGATAAAATTTATACCTATCTTCAATCGTTCAAACTTTGTCTTTCATCTCAAATTGTTATGTTACCTACGTAGATGTGATAAATATGGGATAGACCGGAATTCGAGCGGACATTCCGACAATAACTCAAAGTTTATGTTATTGAGAGTTTGATGCGTTTGGGGATGAGTAACGGAAACCATTAATGAGACGAAGAAAAAGATGTAAGATACTTACCGCTTTACTATCTTACGATGAGAAGGCTTCTTAAGATCGGCGTGCACTAAGGTCAATTACTTAGTTGATTTTACACTTTAGGTATACAGGGTGTCCCATATAAGTAATGGTAAATAATTTAACAGCAGATTCCTTTCAAATAAATGTTGAAATCAAGTTGAATTTCTTTAGCCTGAAAGTCAAAGGCAACCAAGATACAATTTTAATGTAATTTTTTTGAATTTTGGCCATAAATTTAGCATTTATTTTTCGTGTTTAACGAAATTTGGCATATATTCATCCCGTCAGGCACCGCCTACTTAAAAAATATCTTGACTTAGGAAAATAAAATTTTATCTTGAGTGCATTGAAAACTTTAAACGCAAATATCTCGAAAATGGTGAATCACAGCGAAATTTTTAGAGTTTATCTTTTTTAGGTAAACATGACTGCACAATGCATATTTTGAATAAAAAATTAAATTATATCAAGCGTAAAAAAGTTACGAAGTTTAAAAAAACAGAAAATGCTGCTGGTGGCACCCTCTTCAAGATAATTTGAAAAAAGGTCATTTTTTAAAAACGAAGAAAAAATGCTAAATTAACGGTCAAAATTTAAAAAAGTTACAATAAGTTTATCATCCTGTATCTCTTTGTTGCCTTTGATTTTTGGATTAAGAAAATTTACCTTCATCTCAATATTTCTTTGAAAGGAATCTGATGTTAAATTATTTACCATTACTTATGGGACACCCTGTATATTTAATATTATTTAGTTGGTTTTGGAGTTGTTAGGCGGTCGTAAAACATTTTTACTTGACGTTTCGCCAACACGAATGCATCTTCAGAAGATGTTCACATTAGAGTGTGGAAAACCCAAAAACCAACCAAATAATAATGGATGATGGCCGCGAAAGCCTTTCGCATTGCATATATATTTAATATCTGAATATATCTTCAAAAGCTATGACCTTATCACTTTTAGCACTGTTCTATACACTTCATTAGCAGGAGTGTCAGACTGGAGATGCTCAAGTAGACGGCTTTTGACAGAAAGGAACCATCCCAGAAATACAATTATTGAGCAACTAGGCTTTAAGTTTTGACAATGATAAAAAATTCAATTTAGACGAAAGAACGATTTTAATTAATGGCATACTAAAGGCTTTAAATATATGTAATCAATATAACACTAATTTATAAGTTATATGCTCGTAATAGATTTTCCTAAAAATCTAGATTTTTCATATTTAATGGGTTAGTTCCTTTCTGCAAAAAGCCGTCCAAGTAAAAGTCTGACACTCGGTTGGGATTAACGGGAGTGAAACTACGTGGCTACGAAATGAAACAACTGAATATCGAGAGATGAAGATCACCCGTTTATTAACTCTCAACATAAAAAGATTACTTGAGAAAAGAAAAGACTGGGATGTTTAGTTGAGTTACTCTGTCAGCCAAATGAGTAACTATCAAAGATGAAATTGAACTGATTTTGTTATGATTATGATAATTAAAATTCAAACTTCAATTCAAAGGATTAGCTCATCGATTATGGAAGAAGAACTAGAGATATGAATTAGATAAGTTGTATTAGATCGAGAGATTGAGGTAGTTTCATTAGAAAAAAATATTAATAAGATGTTGCGAGATGCTAAATTGATCCATAATGAAGTCATAATTATGTCACCAGGAATCTAAATAGCCACCAGAAGGAAATTGAGACTTTAGGCGCTAAAGAACAGAAAACTTACGAGGTCTATTACCTCGAAACCCAAGCAAAGAAAGAAAATCGTCTTGGACCGAGAGTTCAGACAGATTCAGTGGTGTCGTATTTAAAGTAGACAATTTTAGAATACGAACAATCAGATCAAGAACGATTTTTTCCATATTATTTGATGAGCTATCCTATCAAACACCTGACAATTCGACAGGTGGGAGAGTTGGACAGTCGTTAACGTTAAAGTGAAAGCAAGCCGATATCTGAGGAAAACTCTACCAAAAAAACCTCTTTCGGCTGCAATTTACTTGATGTTTTGAATCCCTATTACAGTTCAATATTTCATTAAATATCTAACTTCTACGGGCTCCCCTTTTTGGTGTTTATGTGCTCCTATACGACGCTTCGCCCATTGCTGTGGTCCTTCATTTTCTTATAAAATGCACAGATGTGTCTCCATGTTACACTGCTAAGATTAATTGTATCAGGTGAAGAAACCAAGTCGTTTCACAAATGTGGGTTCATTTGTACAATCGACAAACTATAATCCGCCAGTATGCCACAGTTATTAACCTAAAAAAAGAAGCATTTTTATACGAGGTTTATACGAGGGTCATTTTTTAAGTAAGAACCGTTTTGTAATCCGAGTCAGAGAAACTTTGTTTATGAATGTAAATTGTATCACAATCTAAAATATGAACATTTTTTCATTTTTCTCACATAGCCACCATAAACATTCAAACACAAGTCAAGTCGAGGCACCAGCTTTTGGTTAATGTAGCATTTGAAACTTATCATGTGGTTTTCATGTCGATAATCTCCCTCATTGATACTTTACCCTCGTCCATAGTCCCGAAGACGCCAAAAGCCCGCCCCAAAGGAACGCGAAAACCAACCCAGAACTGTTGTCGTAACGCACTGGTTAATTGTTATTCAATCTTCGGCTAAAATATTGCAACCTCAAAATTAGCATAGGATAAAATGGAATGAAGTTTCAATACCACACAAAGATGATAACAATTACAAAAGGAATGTAAAGGAATCAGCCCATATAAATTTACCAATAATTGACTTTCTAGTTCTTCTGGGACCCAATTTGGTTGAAGATCCTCGAAGGAAAGACCTAATTGATATTCGCCAACCAAACTAATTGAGTGTCTGAGCTAGAACGGTCTTCATGTTGCAAGATGCGCCATTGGTTCTTACTTTAAAAACGCCCCTCGAAGTTCACCGACATCTTTCTGATAAGTTGTTAGAAAAATGAAATTTGGTGAAAGCTTTCTTCTAGGGCGCCGCTACTTTTTGCAATAGGTTTCAGAATGTATATTTCTTGATAACCTTGACTTATCGGTTAAGACGTTAGTGAAACATGAACAAATGAGTTCAAGATTATGTAAAAAATACATACCTCTTCATTATTTCAATTATCAATTTAATTGATGTTCATTCTGCATGTACCAGGCCGTAATCATCTTCAAGAGTGTGAAGAAGTATAACTTTTGGCCTCAGAGTGTTAGTTTTCCAATTATGTCCCTGAATTTCTTCAAAAGTTGTATGAAAACACTTTTAGAAGATTTTGCTTGGAACCTGGCTATAAGTATTTCGTAAATCTTCATCAATATATTGATAGTAGACCATACTACTATTATCCACAGATTCATCTACAAAGAGAGATCACATAAGTACTCCGATTTAAATAATATCTCTCCTTATTTTGAAACATCAAGTAGGTTGACTCTGCATTTCATTGGTAATAGCATATAGTTTTAGTAGACAGCTTTTGGTCTTCTTATGGTAAATTTTGAAAATATATCTAATGCTTACCCTGTAAAAATGTTGATGTTTGATGTTTTCTTGTATTACAGCATACTATAAGTCGGGACTTTAATCATTCTTATCATGTTTCTATTGTTCCTATTCAACCTTTATCCATAAACATTCATCCAGCTATCCAGGCAGAACATTTTTTGGAACAGCTATCTGTTATATCACGTTTATCACTCTCGGGAGGTCTATAACTTGGGCCAGTCCTGAAATTGGGAGTCTCCTCCCTCAGAAGCTTGATAAAAATATTTGGACAGTGATTTTGAAAGAAAACCTAAAAGTTTCCGGACAGCAGTTCTGTAAAATACGTAAAAACGAGTAAAGTGCAATCACATCTTAGCTAAAAATAGATATGTTCGTAAAATATGTACCCAACAGAAATAGCAAATACAGAATGTAATTCAAAATTGAAGTTATAATAAATATATCACTATCATAATATTTATCACAGTTCATCACCATTCCTGGAATACGGAATGGCCTCACCCTCACCTAAAAGCTGAAACAAACTGAGGAAAACACTTTCCCTACGATTTTAAGACATAATAATCATAGGCAACATACTTATGAAATACGAAATAAGAACTGTGGTAACCCATTGTGGTTGTAAATATATTTTCTCGATAAGTTGAGCTGGTGATAGTAAAATATAAATAATTAATACCAAATATTATTAAAAAACGTAATAAATATAGTTTTGGAGACCATCGGGGGCCTCAGCCTGCCTGCTGGGGCATCTTGCCTTATATCTGTAATGATCCTACTACTAGCCCTACTATCACTAAGTATTACCAGTACTACTGCTACTACTACTACTACTGCTACTACTACTACTAATACTACTACTACTACTACTACCTTGTTATCTAGTTAATTAGCATTTACGAACAC